TGGGGGTCGCGTTCGCCGGGGGGGGCGCGAGCCGCCGATTGCTGGGGGCGGTCTGCTTCGGCAGAGATGGGCAAACAAAAACTTGGACGTTGCGCTTGGCGCGGACCGCGGGTGATCTGATAGGAACTTGTGTGAGCCTTCGACATGTGGGCATTTGCCCTTCTCCTCCTATCCCTCTCCCCCCTCCCCCCTTGGGGCTGCGCTGCGCGGCTATTGCTTATATGGGCGGTCGTTTGGGCCACGGGGGTTATCCGAGCAGCGCCCTTGCCCCTGCGCTTCCTCCTTCTCCTCCTGTTTTCGTCCTCCCCGGGGGGTGTGACTTATTTTCTCTGGTTAGCATCCCGAGCCGCGTGGAAGGTGTTTGGCATCGTCGTGGTCAAACCTGAGTCCCTGTTGAGCCCCTCTCAAGAGGCCCTGTCTAGAGGCTCCGCTACAGCTCCTTTGAAGCCCTCTAAAGTTTTCTAGAGCCCATTTCAGAGTCGGAATTTTCTATAAGTCCCTTCGGCGGTCTTTGGGCCCCCCGCAGATCACTTCATGTTTCGTCCGCCCCTTGGGAGCTCGCGCAAACGGAGAAACACTTCCGCATTGAGAAATCACGGCGTCGGAGTTCTAGGCCATCACTCATCACCGCTCTTCCTGCGTTCGCCCGCGTCGCCTTCCTTGGTGCCACCCCCCACCTATATCTTTCTCTTGCGTTCCCCAATCCTGCCTGCTGTGCCGAGCGGTTCCAGAGGCTCCCAGCATCGTTCACCACCTTTTCCTTTCCTTCCTTTCCTCTTTCCTCTTTCGCGACGACAACAACCCCAGACGACGACAACAGCATCAGCCAGCACCAACACCGACAACAGCACCAGCACCAGCACCAGCACCGACCACAACACCAGAAGCAACACCGATCGACAACAACACCAGCACCGACAGCAGCACCAGTACCGACAGCAGCACCAGCACCGACAACAGCACCAGCACCGACAACAGCACCAGCACCGACAACAGCATCGACACCAACACCGACAACAGCAAACGACGGAGACAACGACGACGGATCTGCGCTTCATACGGAGAAGTGTTTCCACCGCTCTGGCGCTCGCCAGACGAGCGCGAGTCGACGATTGGACGGATGTATACATCAAAAGAAAATGGGCGTTCGCAGCGCGCGTTGCCAAACACCATCACGACAGGTGGACACGAATGACTGCGAGTTGGGATCCAGGTTCGCACGACTTGCCCCCAGCCATTTCGCCGACCTGGCGGGCAGAAGATTTTTTGGGATGATGGCAGTGATTGTATCTACACGACATGGCTGCCACCGGCAGCGAGTCCAAATGGTGGGAACGGGCCCAGAATCTACCATGGTGGAGTACCCACGAAGAAGATCTCTTGGAATACATGCGTCGCTTTTTCCATTCCAGCAACTACGACACGTGAGCCTTTCTGGCGCTCTGGCGACCCTTCCGGGCTTTCATAGGGCCGTCACCCTCGACGTTTTCCGGTACTCTCTCTCTCTCTGTCTCTTTTTTTTCCCTCTCTCTCTCTCCCCATTTCAAGCTTCACTGCGCGCCGCGGATTCATCCCGCTCCAGACCAACCTAATAGATCAATGATTCAACGGCGCATCGTAGCAAACCGGTGTCAAACTATGCATCTATTTTACATGCGTGTGTATGTATATGTGTATGTGCCTTTGTTTTTATATATATATATATATATATATATATGCATTGATGTATGTATGTAGGTCGGTCTGTGTGTTTGTATGTGTTTGTATGCCTGTATGTTTGTATGTATGTAGGTTCGTATGTATGTGTGTATGCGTGTACGTTTGTATGTGTGTATGTTTGTATGTATGTATGCATGTATGTATACATGTATGTGTGCTTGTGCATGTACGTATGTATGTATATACGGATGGACGTATGTATGGAGGTTTGTTTGTATGCATACATGTACGTATTTATGTTTGTGTGTTGGTTTGTGTGCATGTCTATATGTATGCATGTATATATGTATGTTGTTATGATTGTATGTGCGTATGTATGTATGCATGCATGCATGTGAGTGTGTATAGTTGGTTGTATGTATGTATGCATGAACGTCTGCATGTATGTATGTAGGTTTGTATGTATGAGTGTAAGAATATATATATATGTATATATATATATGTATGTATGTTTGTATGTATGCATGTATGTATGTGTGTGTATGTATGTATGTATGTATGTATGTATGTATGTATGTATGTGTGTATGCATGCATGCATGTATGTATATATGTTGGATGTGTGTATGTATGCATGTATGCATGCATGTATGCATGTATGCATGTATGCGCGTATGCATGTATGCATGTATGCATGTATGCATGTATGCATGTATGCATGTATGTATGCATGTATGCATGTATGCATGTATGCATGTATGCATGTATGCATGTATGCATGCATGCATGCATGCATGCATGCATGCATGCATGCATGTATGTATGTATGTATGTATATATGTATGTATGTATGTATGTATGTATGTATGTATGTATGTATGTATGTATGTATGTATGTATGCATGTACATGTGGGTCTATAGACACACGCATGTATGTATGCATGCATGCATGGATGGATGGATGCATGTGTATAGATGTATCGATGTTCATACCATCTGGGGCCGCAGAACACCAGGGGCACCCGAGGTCCGGCAAGAGTTCGGCCTGGGGCCTCCCTGGGGCCTTCCTGGGTGTCCCAGGAGGCTCCCAGAGTTCCAGGACAGCTCCCAGGACAGCCCAAGACAGCCCAAGAGGCTCCCAAGATGGTTCAACAGCGCCGCAGGACGTCTATGACGGCCCCAAGTCGGCTAACGGGACCCCCAAGGCGGCCTCGGTGGGCTCCGCGAGGGCCCCAAGAGGTTCCCAAGAGACGCCCATCTTTGGAATTCCTTGATGAACAAATAGGTTTTACCGATCTCGCCATTCCTGGTTTCCGACCGCCCACCAACACGGCTCAAGAGCCCCCAAGATCGCACCAAGACGGCCCAAGAAATTCCCAAGTTTGCAAACGAGGACAAGACAGCCCCAAGGGGACCCAAGAGGTTCCAAGAGGACCCCACCATGGGCACAGGAGGAGGAGGAGGAGGAGGAGGAGGAGGAGGAGGAGGAGGAGGAGGAGGAGGAGAAGAAAAACGAGGCGGCTTCGGGAGCCGTTTACCCAAGGATTGTCACCAAGACACCCAGCATGCTCCCAACATGCCCCCAAGAGGCCTTTAGAGATCCCCCCCAAAGAGCCTCAAGAGGAGAAAGATCTGCTTCCATAATCGGCGTCTCGTCCACAACCCCAGCACGGTGGTCCCACCGGCCCAATGCGGCTGTCCCTTTCCTCATGAGGTGCAACCAAGACGGCCCAGATGACCCCGAACTGGCCTCAGCACTCAGACGGCCCCATGACCGCGCAAAGGCCAACACGGCTCGAAAATTGCCATACGAGGCCCCCTAAGGCATACCAGAGGACCCTCATGCGGCTCCGCAGCGGCACCCCACGACACCCAATCCAGCATGCGCCCACGAGACTCCACGACGTCCCAAAGACGGCTGGAGGCGGAGGATTTCGGCCTCAAGCCGGCCGTCTTCGGGCCCCAGGGGCCGTCCGAAGACGCTCCGCGATGGGAGAGTTGCCCCAGTGGAAGGCAACTGGCAGTTCCGCGTCGGGGGGCCACCGAGAGAGAATTGCGCGGAAGCTGGATGCACACCGCGGCCGGACTCGGCGACAGCTTGGTATACGCGTGGCCGCATGTCTTACCAGCGTGCGGCCCTTGTGTGGCCGGGCACGCTAGGCTCTGAATGTGTACCCAGCGCGTGGTCTCCAGATGTGCCACATGTGTCAAGCAGTAGCGAGTCTTCCTGGTCTGACCACTTGTAGGCCCACCAAAAAGTTTGAAGAACCTTCTTCGCTGAGTGTAAAACGTGATCGGGACATTTCTGGCTCGGCCCGTCTTGGCCCAACACGTAAGGCCCACGCTCTAAGAACATCATCAGACCACCTCTCCGTTGCAGGGGAAGCTGGTGGCATAGACCTATGGGAGTACCCGGACGGCCTGCTCCTGGCCAAACTCGCGCCCTCCTGGCGGTGACGCCGGACTGACCTTCGGCGTGGGCCCGCAGGGACCCGCCCCGCACTGGCTGGCGCGCTCGGGCTTGCGAGCCCCCCGGCGGCCCCCGAGAAAGTCGCGCACCGGGGGCCGCTCTGGCCCGGGGCCGCTCGTGCGTGCAGCCGTGCCCATGGACACGGCTGCACGCACGAGTGGCCATGTCAACTTGACATGATAGGCCCGGGGCCTGTGATGTTCAAGGTTTGAGGTCCGGGTGAACAGGCGGGCGGCAGAATGGGACGGGGGGCCTATATTTTAGGTCCGGACACCCTGAGGGCAGCCACGTGCGGCTCCGGCTTCCCTCCAGGGCCGCCGGAGGTCTGCGCTCCTCACCGGCGGCGCCTCCGCCCGCCGCGCGGCCCCAGTCCTGCGCGCGGGCGTGCGGTGCGCGGCTGCCACACAGGCAGCGGGCGGGCGAGTCGGGGGCCGTCAGGGCGGCGTAGGGGGGGGGAGGATTCAGGAATTTGCCTGATAGGTCCTCTCTTCTTTCAGGAGGGAAAGAAACACACAGACACAATTAGTCGTCGACTCCCAGGAAAAGATTGGAAAATACGGGCAGTGGGGGTGGAAGACAGAAGCCCAGAAAATATAGGGGATTATTTTATTTGTGTGTATTTATTTGTGTGTCCTTGGGCCCCTTCAGGGATGGGCTCCAGGGGGAAACATCAGCCTGAAATCGGCGACACGTCGCCGAGAGATCGGCGATGCGCCCCCCGATAGCTAGTCCTCACGCACTGCGGCGGGGGGTGAGCTACCGGACCCGCATCGGCGACCAACGGGTGATTGGGGGGGTTGACGCGTCCCCCCCTGAACCGATCCCCGTCAACGTTGCCCCTCAGGTCGGGAGGGCGGACGGGCTGCCACAGGACATGTACCGCATGAACGAGAAGATCGGGTCGCTCCAGAGGGACATCGAGGTTTCGCGTTGCGCCCGTGCTTCTGCTTTCATCGAGGGAGAACAAATCAGGAGGAAAAGAAACACACAGACACAATTAATCTTCGATTCCCTAGAAAATGTGGGGAATAATGGGACGTGGGGGGAAGACAGAAACCCAGAAAATATGGGGAATATTTTTATTTGTGTGTATTTATTTGTGTGTCCTGGGGCCCCTTCAACAAAAGCTGTGCAAACATGAACTTTCGGACCTCCGCGCAGATTTCTGGTAATCGGCGTTGCGGCCCCCTGGCGGAGCCTCCAGGGCCGCCCCTTGCGCGCTCCGCGCGCCAGGGAGGGGTGCCCAGCGCCGATCCGAGAAATCCGCGCTGAGCTCCGAAAGTTTATGATTATACCCTTTGGTGTTTTCTTTATACGAAAGCGTCATATTGCCTCCCCCCATTCTTTTCCACCTCTGACCATGCTGTGCTCGCCTTCCCTCCCCTTGGCCGGGCCAGACTGAGGTACGTTTGTTTTGTGTTGCCTCGGTCACTTATTTTGATCCCCCCCTGGGCGCCCGTGCGAGGCAGAATCGTGTGACCTGACTGATGACAGCCACCGCTTGCCCAGCGAAATAAGATAAGTAGACGACGAGTATCACTCCAGGGCGGCCCACATGCCAGCCCTACAGTCCTCCGAGTTCGGCAGCGGCGCCCACCCCTAGCGGGGCAGCCTCAAAGCAGCCTGGCAGTTAGCTGTTGTTGCCCCAGCACAAACCGGAATTTGCCTGATAGGTCCTCTCTTCTTTCAGGAGGGAAAGAAACACACAGACACAATTAGTCGTCGACTCCCAGGAAAAGATTGGAAAATACGGGCAGTGGGGGTGGAAGACAGAAACCCCGAAGATATGGAAACATATGGGGACTCCTGTTACCTGTGTGTATCTATTTGTGTGTGTGTGTGTGTGTGTGTGTGTGTGTGTGTGTGGGCTTCTTCATTCTTCAGTGCAGGGGGGCCCTGTGGCCGTTCCGGCCTTGCACCAGGCGCCTGCAGGGCCCTTCGGGAGGGGAGCAAACGCGGCGCTCGGCGCCCCACCTTGGCGGGGTGCCGTGCCTCCCGCGCGGCTCTCTCTCGGGGAGTCCCCCGGTTTCCTGGGCTTCGCGCTGCACGCAGCACCTGGACGTGCACCGCATGTGCATTTGTACTTGCGCCGTCTTTCGGGGGCGGAAAAGAGGGGGGTGATGACTAGGGGGGGGGGGGATATCATGGCAGGGGCCATGATATCTCCCCAGATTTCGTGGCGCCCCTTCTTATCGAATTACGTCCCTGGCCCCCCCGCTGGGCCGCGCACATGCCGCCGGTCATGATTTGCACCCCCCCCTCTTGGACACCCCCCTCTTGGCCGCTCCCGATACTTGCGCTGTTTTCTTTTTTCGGGAAGGCAGTTGTCGGATTAGGAGGATGGGGTTGGGAGAAATGGGGATACCATTGCCCGTAGGGTGTCGAAGGTATCGTGCATTGCATCCGAATGCTGTTGCTCATGCCCTTCATCCTCCCAACCCCTTGCTCCCAACACGATAATTGCTCTCCCCAGTTTTGCGCAGTGCGATTGCGCTGATTGCGTGTCTCTGCTTTGTGTTGCATGGTTGATGTACTGCATGGCATGGCGAGGTTTGTTCCCATAGTTTGCTCACATTGTCTGGCGATTCCGTTTCCAATTGCATGACACGGAGACGGATCTATTGTTTTTGCGTTACACGGCTAGAGTAAGTTTGCACAATTTTGGGTTGATTGTAGTGCAACTGCAACGCAATTCCGTTCCAACGCAGTTCAACTCAGAATGTTTAAGTGTAATGCAATGTATTGCACTGCATTGCACTCCAACGCAAGTCAAGTCACCTTAATGTAGCAACACATGCCAAATGCGAAGCAACGCGAACCAAAGGAATGCACATGAAATGAGAGCGAGCCGAAACAACGTGACGCAAACGATCGCAGCGCTCTGCAACGCAAATCACACCACACAAATCAATGCAATGGGACGGAATTCGACACCAATGCCTTGTCTTGACTGAAGACGCAAGGCAAACCGATATCACGGCATTTTGAGCTAGATCTGCGCAACGCCACAACACGTGACAGTGTTTCATACTTTCGACGGTTCGGTTTGTGTTTGATATGCGGTTCAGCGTGCGTTCTGCAATAGATTTAGCCATTGTTCAGTGCGTCTCTCTAACATCTTCCAGCTAGAAGAGTAGCCCTAAGTAAGGTTGTGCCAGATTCATTCAACCACTTTACCTAAACGGCGTCTTCCGATGCAGATTCCATTGTGTAGTGCGCGGTTCGGCCCAACACGCTGCTGAATTGTGACTGCTCTGCAAGGGCTTCTGGTTTCCCATAGATGCCATGCTAGAGGCTTCCCACAATCCTTCCTATTGGTCCAAGAATTGCATTGGCCTCATGGGTTTGCTGAGGGACAGACGGCATTTGCCTTGCAGTAGCCTCGTCGTTACGACGCCAGGGCAGAAGTATTCGCTAGTCACCTTTGCATCAAAGGCTTAGGGTGGGCTCCGTGGACACTCAGAATGTATGGATTCGCAGCACTCTACACTTGCTCGTCTCCCTACTCAACGTGCCTTTGTCTCCTTCTGCACATATTTCTTGCCAGAGGACGGTGTGAAGATAGCGCCTCCGGACCCTGCGGACAGCCTAGTTTATCCTCTGTCGGCGTGTACAAGGCTTGGCTTGGTGGTGGAAGTTGGGAACTGCATGGCAGCGTTGCTCTCGATCGGTCATTCCTCCCCATCCTCTTCCTCCAGCTTTTTCCCAACATATGCGCGGCTGTGCACCCCAGCGTCAGCGCGAAGCAGTACGATGCGGTCGTCGTCTTTACAGCTACCCTTGGCCACTGAGCTCCGTTAGCGAGAGTGGGTTGTAAAGCATGCGCTCGCTGGTAGCAAGCGATGAGCTGACTAAGGGAACGATGACCGTAGACGCAGTCTCTTGGCGACTGTGCAGAAAAGAATGAAAGCATTCATAACAACACTGGCGTTAAGCATGCCGATTTCCCACCCGTTGCAAATCTTTTCGCAGCTAAGCGGAATCAGACTAACTCGAGCTAAGCTAAAATAGGCCAAACTGCGCTACATCGAAAGCCAAGCCACTCCAAGTCAAGTCGCGTTCGCCAAAACGAGACGGTACAACTCATCACTAATGCGAGGCCCAAGGCTAAGCTGAAGCCTGCGCCGAAGACTCAGTTTGATAAAGAGCGCCTGAGCATGGTACAAGGCCGACGACTCACGCCTAAGCAACAGACTCAGCCAACTTACAAGTCTGAGCGCAAACCTACGCTACGACCTGACCTTCAGCCCGAACTGGAGTCTAAGCCTAAGCTCGAGCCTAAGTCTCAACTTTGGCCTACACCTGCTCATAATGCGCTTACGACTAAGCCTATGCATGATATGGGGCCCAAGCGTGCCTTTTACGCCTACGCATGAGCTTAAGTCTATGCTTAAGCCTTGCCCAAGCCGCAGCAAAGCTACCTGTGAGCACAACGATAGCTCATTCTTCGTGGTGCGCGAAAGCCAGGCTGCGCTGAATGTGGTATTGAGCTGCATACACACCTAAGGCCCATGCGAGCACATACCATGGGTTTGATGCGGAAGCCACTGGTACGCGCTACAGGGCAAGCTGCATGTGTCAACGTCCATACCAAAACTGATTCTGAGCTCAGCGTGCGACAAGCGTTAAATCGGAAGTGCGGTCTAACGCCAAAGCCAACGTAATATGCTGAGTTGACGCTGTGAGCTACGCTGAAGCCAGAGCTGCTGCAACGCCTACGGCAATCTCTGTGCCAAAGGCTGCGGCTTTGGATCAAGCTGGTATCCACGAGAGTGCCGCGGCCGTGCCAGACTGGGCCGGGCCGAGCAGAGCCGATCCAAGGCGTGCCAGGCCGATCTGTGCGGAAGGCAATCGGCGTGCATGTGGGTTGGGCCATCAGCAGCCCAGATTCGCAAAGCAAGCATTTGCATAAACAGAACGTCTTGGAGGTCCGCGCGGATTTCTTGGATCGGTGCTGCGCTCCCCCAGCGGCGCCTCCGGCGCCGCCCCCCGGCGCGCTCCGCGCGCTTGGGGAGGGGAGGTGCAGTGCCGATCCAAGAAATCCGCGCGGACCTCCGAGAAATGTTCGTTTCCACCGTTTCTTCTCCCTCTAAATATGCAGGTCGTCGAGTGCGTTTCTGGGGTCGGCCCCTTTGCAAGCAGTGATTCTCACCACCAGCCCGAGGGCAGGAGATGGCGGAGGAGTATGAGGAGGAAGAACAGCCCCACAGTTTGCACTTAGGCCTGTCTCGTCTGTCTCGTAGTCCATAGGTTTTGTAGCGCCATCTGATGCGAAGTTACTAACACCCTTTTTGGGTTTGGCATGGTGTTCTTCTGACGGTGCGATTCGGATATCACTGCATATTTACTTTGCTTCTTTCATCATCGTTGTCTTCGCTTCCTCCTGTGCCACATCCTCCGTCTCCGTCAGATTGGGGTGTCCATGGGGACGAGTGCCAGATTTGGTGCAGGGTAGGCACATGGGGGTAATTTATCCCACCAGCTAACGTACGCGCGATTGTTTCCCTCGCGGTGGACACGAACAGGGTGGACCTGAGAGCAGGAAGACAAGAAGAAGGAGGAACAGGAGGAAGAGGAAGACGACGATGAGGACGAGGAGGAGGAGGAGGTTGAGAACAAGGATGAGGATGAGGATACTGAGACGGACGAGGAGGGAGGGAGGAGGAGGAAGAAGATGCGAGAGGTGGGACGGGATGATGATGATAATGATGATGGTGATGATGATGACGATGATGATGATGATTCTGATCATGACGATTATGATGACGCTGATGATGATGATGATGATGATGATGATGATGATGGTGATGGTGGTGATGATGATGATGGTGATGCTGATGGTGGTGATAATGATAGTGCTGCTGCGGATGCTGATGACGATGATGATGCTGCTGTTTACGATGATGGTGGTGGTGGTGGCGATGATGATGTTGCTGATGCTGATGGTGATGATACTGATGATGGTGATGATGATTTCGATGAAGACGATACTGATGATGATGCTGAGAATGATGATGAGCAAACTGATGATGAAACTGATTTTGTTGATGGTGGGGTGAGTGACGATGATGATGCTGACGATGAGGCTGCTGATGCTGATGATGATGCTGATTATTCAGATGATGATGATGATGATGACGATGATGATGCTAATGATGATGTTGCTGATGGCAATGCGGACAATGATGATGCCGATGATGATGATGGCGCGGATCATAAGGGTGATGACGTATTTGGTGATGATGATGATGATGATGCTGATGATGATGATGGTAATGCTGGTCATGACGATAAAGCTAAGGATGAAGGTTATACCGATGATGCTAACGACAATGACGATGCCGGTGATGACGATGCTGCTCACGCAGATGCTGATGCTGATGCTGGTGTTGATGCTGATGCTGATGCTGGTGATGATGATGGTGATTTTGATGGTGGTGATGACGATGACGATGACGATGACGATGATGATAATGCTGCTGATAAGTCTCATGATAACGATGACTGTGGTGGTGGTGATGATGATGATGATGTTGATGGGGGCGATTGTGTATGTTTATGCTGTTTATGAGGTTGTCGTTGGTGTTGGTGATGCTGATGCTGATGCTGATGACGACGATGATGATGACGGTGATGATGTTGCTGCTGCTGCTGCTAATGATGATGAGGACGGCGATGATGAGGAGTATGAGGAAGAGGCGGAGGAGGAGGGCGACGAGGATGAGGAGGAGGAGGAAGAGGAGGGAGAAGAAGAGGGCTAAGGGAGCAGCAAGAGGGGGGGGGGTGGAGAGACAGAGGGAGAGAGAGAGAGAGAGAGAGAGCGAGAAAGAGATGAGGAGGCGGAGGAGGAGGAGGAGAGAGAGAGAGAGAGAAACGAGGAGGGGGTATGAGGAGGAGAAATGGGGATGGGGCAGGTGCATACTGGTGCTGACGGTGCTGTATTTTGTGTTGTACACTTTGGTCAGCGTCTACAGTCTCGTTTTAGAATTCCTTGACATCCTCGACGGCTGGGAAGGGGCCCTCTCTTCCTCTCCATCTCTCTCTCTCTCTTTCTCTCTCTCTCTCTCGCTCTCCCCCCCTTTCTCTCTATACAGACATATCTCCTCTCTCTTCCTGTTCCTCGCCATCCTTCCCCCGCCGCTTCTCCGTGTCCTCGTCCTTGTACTTCTCCCCCATTATTGTTCCTCTCTGCCCCTCCCCTCTTCTCTCTTCTTCTTCCACTGCTCTTCCTCCCTGTCCTCCATCTCCTCTTCTTTCTTTCCCCCCGTCCTCCCCCTCCCCTTCCGCTTTCATATCAGTATCCTCCTTTGTCTGTTACTCCAACGGTACATTTGTATACCCTGCATTGCAGTGTAGATGTTTGCCCCCTGCCCAGCCTTAAGCCTGCTGCCCTTGTCCCGTCGCCGCCTTTGGTGCTCAAGGTAGCTACTGGCCGTGCCCGTTTCATATTCGGGTTAACCTTTTGACGCTTTGTTTTGGTACTCAAGCGCACTGCATTCTTATCCTGATCCTTTACTCTCAGTTGGTAGCGGAGCTTCGGCTTCGTCATCCACTACCGCCACGGCGTGCATGGCGTTGTGCCGCTGTGTTGCCTCGATAGCACCCGCTCCACATCCAACCGCACAGTGCCTGTCGTGTTCATCGTGCTCACCGTGTTCGCCGCGCTCAACATGCCATCCCGACATCGAGCTGGACCATGTCCATCGTGTGTGCGGTGTTCCTCCCGTTCAGCGCGGCAGGCGACAGCTCCTTGGGGGCCGTCAGGGCGGGCCCCGCCCAGCCGCCTGGAACGTCTGCGGGGGAGGCGCACGGGCACAACGACGAACACGAGTTCGACAAGAACATCACGGACTGCGGCCTCGCGCCGCCTCCCATCGGCGCTCTCTACCAGGCTTGCCTAGACTACGTCTGAGCAGCTCGCAGACCCGACGCTTTCATTGCATCCGCCAGGAGGCGGATGATGAAGGGGGAGCAATCGTGGAGTTCTACCTGGGCGCGTGGGCGCTGGAAGCACTCCTGTGCTTCTCCCGGCAGCTATGTTGCTGGCGTTGCCACGTTCGCCGCGCATGCAGTCCACGCTGCCGCCGAGACTGCGGCCGTCAAGCGCGACGCCGACCTGCTGACCAAAGACGCAGTGTTGAGGCTGTCCATGGAAGTCGCCGCAGCCATACTCAAAGAGTTTATTACCTGGGTCATGTGCACACGCGTTGAGAGGCGGCCGCTCAAAGGCGCCCGAAGCGCCATTTTTTTGGTGCGCTTTCAATTGGATGCCCTGGAAGGAACCGGACGGCGAGACCGCCGGGGCCATCTGGCGCCGCGCGTCGCTAGTAGGCTTCGGCGACATGGGCGCCGGTCCCTGGAGACATTCGGTGGGGCGGCGAAGCGGTCGTCACGGCGCGCGCTGTCCTTCGAGGCGGCGCGTCGCCTGAGACGGGCGCGCGTCGCCGCGGGCTTCGAGGAGGCCCCCCCGCAGGGCACGGCTTACGCCGAAACGCAAGAACAGGGAGAGGCGCGAGGCGCCCTGAGAGGTGAATGGCACCCTGCCTCCCGGCAGTGCAGCCGTCCTCGGGCGGGCGCCACGCAGCGAGTTCTTCGACGAGCGGGCCACGTTTGCGCCGCATCGCAGCGGGGCGCGGGCTGCAAGGACGCACCCAGGACCTTTTCCACGAAGCTCGCCCGGGTCGCCCGGGGCGCCAGGCCGACGAGGCGGGGCCTTGAGCTTGCGGTCATTCGCTAGACGTCTGGCGCCAATGGCGCCGGCGGCTCGGAGCGAGTGCTCGCGCTGCCCACGCGCGTTGACGATGTGGAGATCGCGGGGCGCCAGGGGCGCGCGGGCCGGCTGATCGGCCACGTCGAGAGCGTTTTCGGCAGAATGAAGGGCGACTGCGGCGACTTCACTAATTGCGGAGCACAAAAGCACCACGCTGCCGATGGGAAGTGACGTTCGACCATGCCGGGTGCATCGACGCACTGATTGCCTTCGGGCGCGTCGACTCGGTCAAAGCGAAGGACGACGAGCCGGCGGGGGGTCAGTTCCCAGACTTTGCGTTCCTCTTCGGAGCGGCATCGCGCGCTCTGCTCGCGCAGCGCCATATCGCCGCGTCGCTCTGCAGAGGGCCGAGAGCAAGCTCGTCATTCGTCGCGCGATGCAGCTCGACTCCCTGGTTCTGGCCGCGCAGAAGATCAGGGCGCGCGTCGCCTTCCCAGCCGTGGAGCGCGCCGGGCGGCCATGGGCGCGCAGCGACGGATTGCTCAAGAGGGTAGAGGAGACCGGTTGCGGCGTGAGAGGAGCCGTATACACGCGCCTGGGCAAGTGGTGCAGTATTGGTATACATGCATGTGTGATGTTCGGCGCTGTGGAACGATCGCATTAGTTAGTGTGTCGACCATCGTTTGGCACAGAGCTGCTCCCGGGTCTGCGGCGCAGCTGACGGCCTGCAATCGCACCCCCTGGCGCTCCGCGATACGGCGCGCGGACCTGCCTCGGCCGAGCAGATCGGGGGGCTGAGGGCCGAGGAGGGCTAGCCGACCGAGCTGGTCGTAGACGGCATGTCCGTCTTGCTTGTCCTGGCCGTGGGTTATGTTCGACCAGCTTTGGAGAACGGCGCAGCGGGCCATCTATGGTGGCCATCGGACCAACTCCGCACCAGTCAGATCGACGACGCGCTGTGGAACGACACCAGGGACTTGAGGGCCAGCCTCACGACGAAGGGGCGCGTCGTCCGTGAACACATTATTGACACGATGGGCGGGGAATTCAGCTGTGTCCACGACGCCGTCGGGCTGAGCGAGGGGTGGCGCGAAAAGATTGTGCCGAACTGCCGCCGCAGCAGCCCCGCCCGCGAGGGCAAGGGCCGTCATAATGACGAAGTTACCGGTTCGCCCAACACCGCGGACAATGACGACCTGTGCTCGCTTTGACTATGGCAAGGCAATTCACGGTCCCAGCGATTGCGGATGACGAGGCAAACGCTCGCATTTCGCGAACTATGCTCGCGAATGCGAATCAATGACGCACGCATGTGAGAGGGGTGCTTCCATGACCTAAGTTCGTGGGGCAGCGCGCGGTTCAAGCTGGAGCATGCAAGTGGATGAGGCCGTGTTCCATTAACGGTCCGCTGCTGTCAATTGTTATGAGGTGCGCGGCCAGTAGATAGCCCTCTCATAGTAACTTGCTTTTGCTTTGTTGGTTCGCGGACGGTTTGCGCGCGCGGGCAGACGAGGCGCAACAAACGCGCTTGAGCACCAGACTCGAACTGCACCTTCTCCACGCCCTGCCTAGCAGCGTGCACGTTCCTTCCTTTCCGCGCTAGGCCTGCCTCCATGGCCGCCATTTGGGGCTCAAGGTAAAAGCCGGCCGTGCCCACTTGATATTCCTGTCACGTGCTTGACACTTCGCTTTGGTATTGAAGAACATCACATTATCATCCGGACCCTTTGCTCTCAGTCTTCTCCCCTTTTCTTGGTGCCGCCGCTGATGGCTGCAACGCTGAAGCTGGCGGCGATGGCGACGATGTTGTAATGATGGTGGGCATGACGCAGATGGCGACGAGTATGCTGATGGTGATGATGAGTATGCTGATGCTGCTAGAGGTTATGGTGAGGTGATGGTAATGGCGTCGCGGAATAGCATGACTTTGCCGACGATCGCGGTGTTGATCTTAATGATGGCGAGATGGTGGTGGCGGCGACGACGACGATTATGATTACGATGATTATGATTGTGGCGAATTTGACGGATATGAACATGATTAGATGGATGATGCTGGCACTGGTGATGATCTTGATGTTGCTGACGCTGGTGCGTATGATGTAGCGCTGATGCTGGTAGTTATGGTGGTGATGACGGTGGTGATGATGATGTCGATGAT